AAATCTTTATGCTTACCAGTATCTGTCGGTTACTTCATATCATTATACAGCTATTATTTTTTCAATATTTTAGCATGTAAGGCCTTAGAGAAAAAAATTTTACTTCCTGTCAGAGTTTTAACATCCTAGAGTGCTTTTTCTGTTAATAAAGAATTGGGTATTAAAGTTCAACATATCAGGACTTGATGAAAAATACCTGTTTCATGTTATGCCTAAGATGTTTGATATTCAGACAGATAGTGAGGGTAAGCTTAACAGCCTAGGTTGTATGGTAATAACAATAAGCTTGTCTTCTGGATGGTTAACAACCTAAGTTTGCAGACCAAAATTAGAGAAAAAAGGAGGGCCGCAAGGAAAGCCAACATTTTGGCCCTAGCCTTCCAAGGTCAAGTATGACTCGACATAGGAGAGTACTGTACTGTAACGTCATATAACTCAGTAGTGTCCCAAATTTTCTGATCAAGGAGATTATGGGGATAAAGAGGAAAGTGATCAATGATGTAGAGTGTGCCTAAGGAGAGTCACATGGACAGAAAACATTCTCTCAGGCTTTCACCGAGAGCACATTGGCTAAGCAATGGCTCTGACTCATCCACATGGCTGACACTGACAAAGGTTCTACAATATGAGGTACAGGATCTCAGGATAAATCCTGAGGGGATTTCACTGACCTTTTCAGAACCAAAAGCTACAACTCTTGTTGCATAGGTCCTGCTTTATCTTGGTCTTAACCACCCAGCAGAAAAGTATAAAAACGAAGTATAAGAAGTAAAGCCATGCTGTTATGTTGAGCTATAGGGGACTCAGGTCAACAATTTCTGACACTGCCAGTCTAGAGGAAGACCCAATACTATTATGGACTACTGGACTCTTGGAATATTTTGCTGAGTTAACACACCTATAATAATCAAATGATGGAACTAAACAAAAAAGGGGATACAGATGAATGTCCATTTTGTATCTTTGTATTCAAAATGGTTAGCATAGATATATAGTTACATTCTCTTAATGTATAGAGGGATTTGTAATAGTGCTTGTAAATAGGATATCATGTCTGCATCTTGTACAGCAAATAACCAGTAGGAAGAGAGTATACAATGTGTTAATTATTGAAACTGTCCTACCAATTTGATTTGAAACTGTCTCATTGCTATTTGTCTGTCAATAAAATTAAGGAAAAAAAAAAGAATTGGGTAAAATCTTTATAGTACATTTGTGATCCTAAGAAGCAAAAGTTTTTGATCTTAAAATTACAAGTCCACTTAATTGCAATTGTCTACTTTAATTAGAATCCTAAACCTAATCTCTTAGACTAATAGCAAAAGTATTTTCAACATTGCTAATACTATGTCAGTGATTTCAGATCTTTTAAATGTTAATATTTTTCTATTTATATGGGTTTAACTTACTTTATCATTGATACTTCTCTAAAATCTTCTAGGATTAAAGAGATATGGACCTAGGAGAGGCAGATTTACGAGCTGCAGTTGACAGTACATTAATAGGGTGGCTTATCTGAGGAATTCATACTTTAAGGTCATTCTTTAGCCACAGTTGTGATTTTAAGGCCACTCATTCATGTTCTTTTTTTTTTTTCTTTTTTCTTTTTTTTTGATTGGGCAGGTAGGATAGATGGGATCTGCCACTTTAGTAAGATTGGGGCCAGATTTGGTTGCACTAATTCCTTTGATGCATTAATCGAATTGTAGTTTCTCTGAAGACATTTCAGTGTCTTGTCCCTCTTCCCTTTCTTGGAATTTAACAGGAGCACTGAACTACATCCCCAGTCGTTTTCTAATGTTTTGAGACAGGAGCTTAGTAAGTATCCTATACTGGCCATCTGGCCATGAGCTTTAGTTTTCCTGCTTCAGCTTCCAAAGTAGCTGAGATTACAGGCATCTGTCACTACATTTAGCCTGGCCAGTTCTTAAATGAAAATACTTTAATGTCTTCACATTGTATTCTGAATTTCTTTCTTATTTCAGTTCCCTGTATCTTTTATCATACCATATTTTATATTATGCCAGTATTTTAAATATTTTGGTGTGGGATATCGTTGCATATCTCTGTGTGTGTGTGTGTGTGTGTGTGTGTGTGTGTGTGTGTGTCTGTCTGTCTGTCTGTCTGTCTGTCTGTCTGTCTGCTTTATAAGTACATTTATTCAACAAATACTTATTTTGCCCTTCCTGTGTGCATGCCACTATACTAAACACAGAGATGCAGCAACAAAGGAATTATATGCCAGTCTTCATGAGGCATTTATTCTAGTTTTAGACTGACAGTAAATACATGAAAAGGTATATAATGTATAGGAAGTGATTGTATCTAGAAAAAAAAATTAAGGTTAAAAGACAAGAGAATAACAAGAGTTTTAATTAGCCATGAGGAATTAAAACTTGAAATAAATAAAAGTTTGAGATTATGGGTCAAGCAGATACCTAAAAGACCATTTCAGGTAGAGGAATCAATAAATATAAAGAACAGATTCTGTTAAGTACAAAGGCACAGACAGGCTTGAGTGGATTACCAGCTTAGGGAGCAGCTATAGCTACATTACAGTGATGAGAGAAGAGGGTGGTAGAGTATCAGACACATTCAGGGCTAGCTCAAGTAGATCACAGCAAGGACTTCTGCCTTTTTTTCTAAGAATTATGAAATTTTGAGCAGAAAAGCATGCATCTTATAAGCATTCATTATGGAGGTCAAAGTAGAAGCAGGGAGGCTAGCAGTGCTTGCTGTTGTAGCCATCCAAGTGAGAAAACAATAAAGGATTGGGCAAAAGTAGTTGTCCTAGACCTGTGGGAAAATCAGGATAGCTTGAACAGGATTTGTTGAGGAGTTGATGGTTTTGCCCTTTGGAATGAGGATAATAAAAATTCCATTTACTAAGAGACAGAATATAAGGAGAAGCAGTTTAGGGCTGGGGGAGAATTTCAGTATTAAATCTAATTATGTTTTAGATGCCTGTTGATAGCCAAGTAGAGATACTGAATAAATAGTTGGGTGTATGAATCTGAAATTCTGTAAAAGTTTACAGCTTAAATTAAAATTTGGGATGTGATTTATTTATTTTCAGAAGAAACTGTAAAACCCTAATTAACACAGAATTATCTGTATTGCAGGCAAAACCATATGGCGTCGTTGAAAGGAAGCCCAGAATATTCCCAGTGAGTAAACTCTGATTTTTGTTTTTTTATTATACTGATCCAAATAATCATTAGTCTAAAATGTTCCTTCTTAAATGTTAGGTTAGGTGCCTATTGTTTGTGTTGTTTAAATAAAAAACAAAGGAAATAGTTTGAGGTAGCAATTACAGTTGAAAATGGGAAATGGAAGCATTAATTTTGAACTTTATTTTATGACCTTGATTGTCCTAACATGAGTGGACAGTATCAACAGGTTTTCCCTGATGCTGTTTAATGCTGAATGAAGGTCACAGGGTATAAGTCTGAGCAGACACGTGAACATGGTGATAGCAACTGTTTCTTTTTCCTTCTGTGGCTTTGTGCCTCATTTTCATGGATTGACCTAAAGCTTTTCATCTGTATATTTAAAACTCATTGTATTTAAGTTTTTGTGCTATGAATATTAGGTCCTAATACTAATTTAAATTTAGTTCTTTCAGGACTGCGGAAATAGCTCAGGGGCACAGCACTGGCCTGGCAAGCTTGAGGCCCTGAATTTGAATCCTGATACCCCCTCCATAGTTCTTTCAGCATTAAGACTACTCAGTAGTCAGTTGGCATTTGTATTGGCTGTTGGGACATTACTGTTTAGTATAGTAAAAATACACGTTAGGTTTTATTTCTAGGCACAGATAATCAGTGAACTATTGTAGCTATAAATTCCAAATTATAAAAACAAGATTCTCCATGTGTGATGGCTCATACCTCTAAGCCCAGCACTTGGAAAGCTGAAGCAAAGCAGAATAGTGAATTTGAGGCTGACTTGGATTATATAGCAAGAGCCTGTATCAAAACAAATCCAGATAAACTCAGTGTTGATTTTTGCTTTAATCAAATGACATATTTTACAATAATCCATTATTTATTACAGTAAGAATTTTAGGGAGAACCACTGAAATTGGCTAAGCATCCCAGTTGGAATTTTGCTTTAAGAAATAATAGGGCATTTCTTTTATTATTTCCTTGTGTGATTGATATGTCAAGGACCTCAATGGTCTTACAATAGGAAATTACCTTGCAGGTTTTGTTAACTGGGTAGTTGATATTTATTTATTCTTCCATTTATGTTTGCTTCGTTTTTAATTTATTTTGTCATTCTTGTTCAAATGAAAAGGTACTCTTTTGTCCTTCTAGAAGAACACATTAATGATTCTGTAGTATTTCTGTTTTCTTTCCCACTGTTGTTTTCTGTTTCTGTGCCACTGACCCCTTTGAGGATGTTTCCTTTTGAGAAACTAAAGAATGCTCACTTAGATACATGTTTTTAAAAGGATAGAAATCTCACAAATCAACAAAAGTTTTTTTATATCACTAATGTGAGTCAGGCAATCTGTTATAGCTGTGGCTTTAGAATGAGACAATCAGTATTGTGTTGGAGCAAGAAAAGACTAAATGTTTCTGGATGATTTTAAAGTGTAAAGATGATTTTAAGTATCTTACATGACTTCTCAAATCCTATTAGCCAGAACTCATTCTCATTGTCCTGAATATTTGATACTTGCATGCATGCAGTTTTTGCTATAGTCTATCCTTCTAGGCATCAGTAGCTCTTTGCTTCCTTCTTCCCAAACATGTAAGTCTATCTTTTAAAGAAAAAGATCCTAGTCAGGTGTGGTGGCACATTCCTTTAATTCCAGCACTCAGGAGGCTGAAGCAAGAGGATTATTGTGAGTTCAAGGCCAGCCTGGGCTACAAAGTAAGCTCAAGGCCTGCCTGAACTACATAGCAAAACCTTGTTTCAAAAAGACTGGGGGAAAAAAAAAAAAGAAAGAAAGAGAAGAAAAACATCCTAAAGACTCATTCCATCCCCATAGCCAGCCCCAAGTCTAAAGTCTCTGGGTGATGCATGGTAGTGTCTTGTCAGGTTCAAATGTGACTTCTCTTGATTTGATGAAGTCCAGTGAACCAAGAAAACAAAAAAAGTAATTGTTTCCTCTCCCACCTCCATACCCATTGTTAGTGGTAGAATCTAGATAGCAGAAGTTACTTTTTCTTGACATTTTTGAGATTTTAATAGTCAAATATTTAATTTATGTATTTAGTACAGGGTCTCAGTACACAGATAGGACTTGTAGTGATCCTTCCTGTCTTTCAACCTCCCAAGGGCTGGGATTACAGGCGTGCACCACGCCCAGTTTTAATGGAACTCCAGCCCCAGGTACTTTAATCTGTCATGCTATCTGGCTGGCCTTAATAGTCAAATGCTATAAAGACTCATGTGTAGGAAGTTAGTTGCATGGTCACTGATTTTTTCTGGAAGGAATACCTTTGTCCATTATTTTTCCTGGTCCTTGGATCTGTCCAGGATGTTTTTTAAAAAACATATCTAAATGGTATTGGTAAGTAGTCCTTTCTTAGGGGTTGTATAGTTTGCTAACTCTACTTCTTGCTCACAGGTTCAGCACAATAAGTAGTTCTAATTTCAACATTCACAGGCTTTTATAATCTCAATGTTGGGGGTTTCCTTTATCTTTGATTTCCTTTAATATTTGACAAACAAACAAAAATAGGCATCTAATCATTTCCTTCTAGTTATTTGGTAATTATATATAGACAGGTACTCGCATGGGCTGGTACCTGTTATATATATAAATAATTATCAAGTTATCTCTTTTTTTGTCCACATACATCTGCCTGTGTCAGTTTTGTGGAGGCCATCCAAAACAATCTGGACTAAGGGCTACATTTATTTTGATCTTTACCATAGTACTGAATCTCTTTGCTTACTGTGTTTTATTATACTTATATTGTTGAAAAACTTATGTCATCACTTACTGTTAAGGATTTGAAAGCAAACTGATTTTTTCAGTAATAATTAGCCCTGAAGTTTTAGATTCTCTCATTTCTCTCAAATCAGTCACTTCTTGCATTCACAGAATCAGCTACTGTTCCTTCAAGTACATTCTCAAAGTACCCAGTAAGATCCAAACACATAACTTTTTTCTGAAAAGTTACTTCTCGAACTTTTAAGTTCAGTTAGGCACTCTGCTTTCAATTATAGAAGACATTGTGCTAAATAATTTTTCCCTCCAGTCTTAAAGATCTTACTTTCTGTGTTAGTGTCATGCTACTGTGACAAATAGTCAGTTTACTGACTTAAATACAAAACTATTTCTTCATATACAGTCCTAAGTAGTACCACCTCATGAAATGGTGGCGTTGGTGGGAGTAGAATAGATTCTACTGTACATAGTCATTCAGGGATTGGTAGAGTAAAAGAAAATCTGTTAAACATAAAAGAAAATCTGTTAAACACAGCTGAAACTGATGCTAACTGATTTGCTTAATATTATATAGCTTGTCAGTAGAGGTTCCAAAGACTAGCCACTTGGTTTGGCTTCAAAACCCATCCCCTTGTGACCACATACTGTATCTAGGTTTAAAGCCACCTGGACCAACTGCCAGCCAAAAAATCATTATCACCTACATATAAGACCAGTGGAAAATTGGTGATTCCTATTGAATTGCCGAGAATACATTAGCTCCTTATATTGAACTAAAGATGTGACCTTGCAACTTTTCTCTAGGGCTTCTCTTTCTTGGGCCATGCAAAAAGATTATCCCTTAAACACTCAGAAAACACAGCTTTCATGCCTTTTCTGGTTATTGAGCTTGAGTGAAACTTTTTTTTTAATGTGTTTGGACAGGGTGTCACTATGCAGCTTGGACTCATAGTGATCCTCCAGTTTTCAGGTGCTGGGATTACAGGTGTGTGCCACCACTCCTGGACTTGGTGGCCAGCTCAGCGCACCCAGGGGTAGGGCTGGGCATGTGGTTTTAGGGATTGAACACAGTCCATGCACTTGCCTAACCAGGCAAAACTTATTTTTTCATAGTACTAAAATAGTGAATACTGCTTATGTTTAGACAACTTCTGCTTTGGTTGAGTCCTTTTTAAAGTGGTGGTAAATGCATGTAATCCCAGCACCCGGAAGGCTGAAGCAGGAGGACTGCCACAAGTTTGAGGCCAGCCTACACTGCATAGTGAGTTCAAGGCCAGCTTGAACTGCACAGTGAGCCCCTGTATAGAAAGAAAGGAAAAAGGGATGGGGGTAGGAGTAAGGGGTTAGGAAAGAATGTCAGAGCTTAACTACATTTTCCATGCAGACTCTGCCTCAACATGGAGTACAGGTGAACTACTTACTTATGCAAATTGAAGATTTTTGTACTAAATCCTTCTTTGTTTTTCTAGGGTGATACAATTTTGGAGACTGGAGAAGTAATTCCACCAATGAAAGAAGTTCCTGATCAACATCACTGAAGATTACTTAAAAATGTCAAAGGCTTTAAGCTTATATTTTTTTTCCTGTATTATATTAACTGAGTATGTTTCCTGGAAACGTAATAAAGCTTACTCTCAGAAAAGTGTTTTCATATTTCTTCTCAAACACTGTACCATTTTAGACTTTCTGAATTTGACAATAAAAAATAAACAAATTATGTAAGAAAGCACCCTTTTTCTGGCCATTCCTGACTTGAAAAGCAAGGTGTATTAGTTACATGATAATTTTTTCCAACATAGTATGGTATTTTGATACATAGTATGGTATTTTGATGTGAGGGTATACAATAGAGTGAAATGTTGCAATAAGCACATATAAAAAAGTAGTCTTTTTATTATATTTTGAGACAGGTTTGGGCCGACCTTGTGCTCACTTTGTAGCCCCCAGGCTGGGATTATCGGCATGCACCACCACACCCAGTTCTGGGGTGGGAGGGCATGCCCCTGGTTCTGGGTTGTCCCAGCATGGGGGTCTAGGGATTGAACTCCAGACCTTGTGTTTGCCAGGTAGGTGCTTATGCCTCTGAGCTACCTTCCCAGCTCACAAACTGGACTTTTTGAAAGCCTTTCCAGATTGAAAAGCTTGATTTTTTATTTGTATCATACTCAGAAATTGTTAATCTATATGAAAAATTTGTGATGATTAATTTTGATCATCAACTTGATAAGCTTGAGAGATGCTTAGATTAGTAAAGTGCACATTGTGTCATGAAAGTGTGACCTTGGGGACTATATCCCTGGACCTTCCTCTCTGGCTCTCCTTGCTGTTTCCCAGATACCATGAAATTAGCAGTTTTCTCCACCAGGCCTTTCCACCATGTTTCTGCCTTTGAGCCTGTTGATGATGGCTTGAAATCTTTGAAACCCTGGGCCAAAAGAAATCTTTTTCTCCCATAAATTATACATGACAGGTATCTTGTCCCAGCAACGGCCAGCCAACACTTTTTTAAATGAGAAAATACTACACAAAAATAAATTAGAAATTCTGTATTACAAATAAGTCTACGGAGTACGTAAGCATGAGGAAAAAAGGCTGTATTTGGAGGGAATTAAACCTAGAAGTTACAAATTTTCATTCATCCTGAAGATTTTGTCTGGGTATTTCTTCCTTAGTTGTCGCTGTGCAGCTACTGTTGATGCGTAGATGACGTATCCCCAGGAGAGTAAAACGACAGCAAGCAGCAACTAGGAAAATAGGGGAAAGAAGAATGATGTGCGTGGTATCTGCCCCCTGCTACCACTGGATTACCATAAATCCTTGCTGAGGCGGAAATCTCGGGTGACAGACTAACCCGGGCTCCAGAGAGCAGACCCAGCAGCCTTTACGTAAGAAGCGGAAGACCTGGTCTTCCAGGAAGAGGCGGAGTCGGGCTCAGAGACCAAACCGTTTAATTCTAGAATCGGTTTTGGAGTTTCTGAGCGGCGGAGGATAAGGAGGAGGCCCTCAGCTTAGGCGCCGAGGGAGTCGGCACTGTGGAGCGCCGCGACCCGGACCTACCACTGAGCAGATCCAGTCCAGGCTACTGCGGCTCACTGGCTTCATGGTAAGGAGGCGACGTCGGCGGGATCGGGCGAAAGCTGCGGGCTCTAGAATAACCGCTCGGGCGCTGGCTGCCCCGCCGCCGCAGCCATGTTTCAGTCGGGCACGAACGCCCTCCCGCACGCTTTTGGGACGCGGCCCATTGTCCCAGCTGTGCTCTTCCGCCCGGAGTTGGAGGCGCGGTCATGTGATCCAGGCCCTAGCCCGCCTTTTAGGGACAGGATAAAATGATGGAGCAAATAGGGTTAAATTTACTTTTTTGTCGCCAAAAAAAGGTAGATATGCCTCTCCAACTTTTAAATTTCCACCTGAAGTGCAGTACTAATGCAAAATAATGTGCTGTCGTACGCCTCTTAACAGTTTATTTGAAAAGTCGACATTTTAAACTGGTGTCTAAGACTGGAAGGGTTAACATTTCCTCCGCATCTGTTTTCACAGGCTAGGCCTTGTTAGTTTAATCTACCACTATTTTATACTGGTGACGAATCATTGTTGGAATCACTGTTAATTGAGTGCTTCAAGAAGCGAACAGATTTTGAGACTGTAGTCTCCTTGATACACAGTTAATGATATTTGTAAGAACTGCCTAGGCCCATTCGCGGCATCATGGATTAGCCAGTCAACAAGTGCTCGCTGAGCTTTGTTACTAGAGATGCAGTATGTTTGAAATATTAAGCCCAAAGTAGGGTAGTTTGGCATGCTGGATTACTAAATTCGGCGGTTTGAGGATGTTCCTATTTGAGCCATTTGTGGTAGAATGTGGTTGTGGGCCGCTTTGGGTTCAGACACCTCGGCTATCAGTTTGGCAGTTTTAATCAGAATTTCGAGGAGGGGGAAGGTAAAAATGCAGTCCTTTTTAAAAATTTCTTTTTCTCTCTTTTTTTTTTTTTTTTTGAGACTGGGTCTTGCTGTGCGTGTCTGGCTGGCCTCCGATGTGTGGTGATCCTACGTAAGCTTCCCGAGTGCCGGGATTACGAAGTGTTCGCCCAGCTTGAAAAACTGTCTTTTGAAAGAACAAAATGTTACGAGACTAAGGATTCAGGCTCTGGTGTTTCTCTCAGACTCTAATAGAGCTCTCTAAAGACTGTAGGATAATGGTTGGGCCCTGGATTTTGATCTTATTTGAATTTCCGTGTTACATTCCAGCTGTATAATAGAAAGTGTAGGAAATTGTTCATTTCTTAAGAGCTTGGTGAGGTTTATTGTTTTTGTTTGTTTTGCGTTTTACGGGTAAGTGGAAGACCGCACGTTAAATTGGTGTCCCTGTGGTCCGAGAGATTTAGAATAACTAGAACCCAGCTAGGCCTAGTGGTGCAGACCCTAGCACCCAGGGAGGCTGAAAGAGAAAAATCCTAAATTCGAGCCCACCTTGGGCATCTTAGCAAAACCCTGTCTCAAAAAATATATACAGGGTTGGGGATATAGCTCAATAGGAAGACCATGGGTTCTGCCTCCAGTACTGGAAAAAAACCCAAAACCAAATCTTCCAGACTGGGAACTTTCCCCCGCGACGGAGCGGTGGGGGAAGGGCCAGGCCGCGGCCTACCGAGCTGCGCCCCGCCCCCAGCGTGGCGCCGGCCTGCTGCGCATGCGGGGAGAGGCTGTGGGTCGTGTTTTGACGCGCGCGGACCGTGGCGCGCGGAGGGGGGTGCTGTTTTCTGCCCTGCCCCCCAGCTGCCCCTGGTGATGTGCGTTTTCCGTCACAGGGGTCGCAGCCGCCGCCGGGGTCTCCGCTGTCTCGCGAGGAAGGCGACGCGCCCCCGTCAGCTCCGGCTGTCGAGGGTAGGCGGAGAAGTCGCCGGGTCCGCCTTCGCGGCTCCTGCCGTCACCGTCCGAGCTTCCTGGGCCGCGGGGAGCTTTCCTCAAGCGCTCTATCTCGGCCTGCGCCGTCGTCTTCTGAGGTGAGCCGGTCGGGAACAATGGCGCGGCGGTCGGGGGACCTGGGCGAGCTGGCGCGCCCTCCGGAGCGGAGCCGAGCGGAGCGGGGCGGGAGGCCGGGGCTGCAAGCGGGGCCCCGAGACCCCCGGGCCTCGTCGGTGGGCGCTCGGGCGGCCCCGACACCTGTGGAGTGGTGCGCGCGGCCGTCGCCGTCCAGGGGACCGTTTCCAGGCTGCACTGGAAGGAGCTTGGTCTCTGGGAGAAATAAAACGGCCGCTGAATGTGAATGGGCATCACTATGGGTTCGAGTGTGACCTTGGCGAGGTCCTCAGCTCCCTGAGCCCGCCCGCAAAATGGGAATGAACGTATTTTCGTTCGTGGTAGATACGTAGTGCGCATCGTGCTTAGACCCTGGCTGGCTGAGTTCTCAGCTGAAGTACGCAGTTGTTATGTGCAGCGTTACACATTCTGGCTGGGCCTGTCTGTCTGGGACTTAGACAGCTGTCCAGTTAGTGCATTTTTCTTCCTCATGGGCTGCTGAGTCCTGTGGTTTAAGAGAAAACTGAACAGAAGTTTTGGCTGATAATTTTCGAGATTTAAGGTAAATAACAGCTATCCAGGAGTTAACAGTGATATATTACTGTTTTGGAGGGTTTTATGTTTCTAGTATATGAAATGTAAAGCTCTTCATGCAGTCATAATTAGTCATGCTTACTTGGAATGATTTGTCTTCAGAGGGAAGTGATTCCAGCAATTCGTTTTATTGCTGGGACTGAATTAAATTGAGTAAATGTGGTCAGTGTGACTTTTCTCTCAAAGGCAAAACACTGGATCCCCGAAGTTAAAGGAGGAAATATTTACTGTTTGCAGAGGTTTCAGTCCGGAGTTGGCTTACTCTTAAGTCAGGGTGGGACACAGTAGAGGGACAAGGAAGAGAAGAAAAAGTACATGGTGTAGTTGGGCAGGCAGCAAGGAGCAAGAAAGGCATCAGCAGCCACAAGCCTGCCTTTTTTTCCTGTCCTTTCTGCCACACAGGCTACTGACCTTTGAGGTGATGTCACTCAAACCCATTATTTACATCCAAATAGATGTTAAACCAATCAGTGAACTAATTAATTGCACCCTTTAAATCCAGAATCACATAGTTGAATCCATCACACACACACACCTTACAGCCAGCCACTTCCCGGAACTCCCACCAATGAGTGCACGAGGCTTTTGCTGGGGTGGGGGTGGGGTGGGGAGGTAGGGGGGATGTCTAAGACACAGCCCATAATGCAGTAGATCCTATAACTTCTGTGTCATCTTTTGGAATTGATGGTTAAATTGTAGTTTGAAAAGAAGTACAATGATTTCTTTCAGATAACACAGAGGATAACTCATGTTTTTTTATTTAGGGTGGCTTTCTAGTTCATCTACTAGTGGATCTTTTTTAGCCACTTGTGAATCTGTTTTTAGCAATAATTATATTAAGTGTGATGATCATCTTATTATTACAGAGTGTCTTCTCTGGGCCCTTACCAGGTGTGGTTAATGACAACTGCAAAAATTAACTATTTTCACATAGGTAGGGGAACAGTTTTGTTTTCTTACTGTGTGCCAAGCACAGTGCTGAATATTTACGAATATTTACGTACTTAGAATATATCCCTTCACACAACAACCTGTTCAAATGAGTATTGTTACTTAATGCACTTAAGAATTGAGAACATTTAAAGTCTCAAAAGATAACTCCAGGGGCTGGGGAGATGGCTCAGTAGAATAAGCGCTTCCCTGGCAAGCGCAAGGGCCTGAGTTCAATACCCAGTTCTGCAAAAAAAAAGATAACTCCACGTCACACAGTTTAAGAAGTGATGGAAAGCTGAGTATGTGGCACATGCCTGTAATCCCAGCATTTAGGAAGCTGAGGTGGGAGAAGTGCCCCAAACTGGAGACAAGCCTTGTACACATAGTCTCAGCCTGAATTACAAAGTGAAACAAAGCAAAAAAAAGTTGTGGTGATTCTTAATATTGGCACAGCATTAAAATTATCATTTAGACATAATCAGCAAATAACTAGATTTTATATCTAATAAGGAATAACATTGAAGATGACTTTATAGGAGGTGTGATTTTATAAAAAATTAAATCTGCATTTATACTACTGTACAGTTTTTGTAATGTCAGGTCTATGGCCTTCTTGAGATTTTATCCTCCCAGTGCCTTATCCCCATTTTTCCCAGATAAATATGTCAGTTGATTGTCTATTTGAAGGGTTCTTACCCTTGTTAGAACCAACAGATGTGAGAAAGGAAAGATTTGGCTTAATTAGGTTAATCATACAGATGACAAATTTTATTTTGAATTTGGAAGGCTGTGTTTAGAAGTGGGATCAGAAAGAAGTGATTAATTTTCTCCTTTATGGGGAGTGCTGGGGTAGAGAACACCTTAAAACAACTGCTTTTAGTATCTGAAGCACTAAATGTACTTACCATCAGGTCTGTCATTGCAACATAGATGCAGAACTTATGCAGGTCTTCTGATCTTAGCCCTGTTTTGTGCCTTAATTTGTACTTTTTAACAACTTTGTTGAGATATAAATTACATTGTTTTTAAAATTTACCTCTTTGAGCTGGGCATGGTGGCACACACTTGTAATCCCAGCAGTTGTGAGGCTGAGGTGGAAGGATTGCTGTTAATCTGAGGCCAGCCTGGGCTACATAAGTGGGTTCAAGACCAGCCTGCAATACATAATAAGACCCAGGGGCTGGGGAGATGGCTCAGTAGGATAAGCGCTTGACTGTCAAACACAAGGATCTGAGTTCAATCCCCAGTTCTGAAAAAAGACCCTGCCTCTTAAAAAACAATTTAAAAAAGCCTTACCTTTTCGAAGTAATGTAAGTCATTGGTTTTTGATATATTTACAAAATTGTGGAACCATTACCATAATCTGTAATGATTTTCATAATTTCAGAAACCTGATTGTCAGCATCATTGTAATAAAACTTAATAAATTTGTGTATTCTGGATATTTCATGTAAGTGTTGTACAATATGTGGTCTTTGTTACTGATTTTTTTTTTCCCATTTGGTGTCATATAAAGGTATGTCCACACTGTAATGTACATATGTTCTTTTTTTTGTTTTTTTTTAAATTGCTGGGCAATCCATTTTACATCTGAACCACATTAATCTATCATAAGTTAATGGAGATTGCAGTTTCTACTTTTAAACTATTATAACTGAATATATAAACTTCACATACAAGTTTTTTGGGGGGCATATGTTTTCATTTTTCATGAGTAAATTTGTGAAATTGCTAGATCATACAATAATTCTACTGTATTTGTATTTTAACAATTTTAGTATTAAATGATAATTCTGAAAAGATAATTCTTTACTTGATCAACCCCATTCTTTTTAGTGAAATACATCCCTGTATAGAAATACATAATTCTTGTGTAGAAACAAAAGAGAATATTTTTTAACTTACTATGCGGGATGTTAGCACTTAGCCCTAGCTGTCAATGTTCTTAACAGGCTATTAAAACTAGGGTGAAAGGGGGCTGGGGAGATGGCTCAGTGGAATAAGCACTTCCCTGGCAAGCGCAAGGGTCTGAGTTCAATCCCTGGTTCTGCCATAACAAAAAATAAAATAAAATAAAATAAAACAACTAGGGTGGAAAAGATCAAAATTTTTTTTTCTTTTTTTTTCTTTTTTTTTTTTTTTTTTTTTTTTTGGAAGGGGTATGGTATTAGAGAGTAAACCCATTTGATACTGGGCTACTTTTTATTTATTTTGAGACAGGGTGTTGGTATATTACCCAGGCTTACCTTCAATTTATGGTCTTCAGCCTCCAGAGTAGTTGAAATTACAGGCCTAAAGTTTCATGTTTAAAAAAGAAAAATCTTAACATAATTTGTATTGCTTGAATTTTCCATTTGCTAATGAATTTTTTGTGTTAAATTCAGAACTGCAATTTTTATGTGAGCTAGAAATATTTAGTAAACACTAAAATTAATTAGCTTTGAAATTCACATCTTGGGCCGGCCAAATAGCTCAGCGGATTAAATCACCTCCAAGCAGGCACAGGGACTGGGGATTCAATCCCTGGCCTGCTGTGCCTGGTGCATGCCTGTAATCCCAGCGCTTAGGAGGCTGTAAACAGGAGAATCACTATGAGTTCCATGTAGTAGTGAGCCCCTGAACACCCTGTAAACCCTTCCCTAAAATACAGAAAAGAAAGGAAAAAAAAAAATTTACATGTTTTTGAAAGTCTGATAATCACTTATAGCTGGGGAGACTAAAGTCTCTCAAGTGTATCTTCTGCAGCCCAGAGGCTACTTTTTAGTTTTATCATAACAAATACCAAAAAGGAAATTTTGTGGGTTGTATTTATTAATTATGTTACACATTTTAAATGTGGTCCGAGACAATTCCTTTTCATTCAGTGCAGCTCAGGAAAGTTAGAAGATTGGACACCCGTGGTAGAGTTAATGTGTATTTCTTTGGTTTACAGTGCTAGAGTTTGGGGAAACTTGGTCTTCAGGTCAGGTCTTATAAACCCCTGCAGTTAGCTCCCTGTTTTTCCCCATCCCTTCCCTTCAGCACACATACAGACACACATGCACGTGCACACGCACACACACACACACACGCACACAGACCTTGTCTGGTTTTATTTTTATTATTTTTACTTTATTGAATAAGTAGATTATAAAGCATTATAGAGGGAAGTTTAAAGTTTAAATATATTGACAAGAAGTAGGGATGTAGCTCAGTGCTTATCATGCATAAAGCCCTGGGTTCAGTGCTTGGTGTTGCATAAAAAAATAAAAAAGGATATAAAGGCAATCAGCAATTATGTATTTGTTTTAAATTCAGAAAATAGAAGACTAGAAATATTTGGGTCCTCTGACAAAGACATTTGTTCAGTATTGATTCCTTTTAAAATAATAGGTCTGGAAAAGACAAGATGCCTTAGATGAATATGTTTAATTTGAAAAGAATGTAATGAAATACTTATATCTCAAAAATAATAGGT